TTTTTTTAAAAAAGGATTTATTAGAATGTAGCTTGCTGAATAGAGGTTCACTTTTATATTTTTGATATCAGCACAAAGCAGCATTTAATATAATTGCATAGAGATCATGCATTTTCCACAAGGGAAAAATGTGACCATCGCAAAGGTGAACCCTTTTGTATTCAGTACCTTAATAATATTAAATTCAAATTGACTCTCCATTGGGTAAGAGATTAGAATTTATTGTCAGAGGGACCAGGATTCAAAGTCTATTAGTTCGTTACTGGCTATAGATCTCAAATATGTTATTGAATCTTTCATGGGATCAACTCTATTAAATAGCCAGTGTGGATTGAAATAGCTACATAAGAGGAAAAATGTGTATATGGCAGGGGATGCAGCAAAATTCTTAGATTGATACTTACTTAATACTTTAAAACCAGGAATACTTTCTAATATTAGTTATAATTATAAGAGTTTAGGTTTTATCACAAAAACTGAAAATGTGAAATGTCATCTTTTTTACTGGATTAGATCTATTGATTTTAAAACTCCATATTGATACAATTAAACATATTCTCAAATCAGATCTAATACAGAGGTAATAAGTTTGAAGTCTTTGCAATGCTCAGTATAGACACATGTAGATTTCTCCGTTGTTCTGTTAAAAAATAAATGAATTTAAAAATATCTAAATTTCAAATATAAACATCATGCTGCCAGATAACTATTAAGAAAAATATTTAAAAATAAATTTTCATATATTGAATAATTTTCTGTTGACTTATTTACACATATCTGATTTCTTTTGTAGAATGTATAGACATTTTTTTAGCCTAAATTAGGAATAAGCTTTTGTTCTATTTCACAAAGAGATGTCAAATTAACGACCTACACAAAAATAGAAATTTAGGATTCTATCTTCATATACATCATACTCTAAATCAAAATGTTATAGTGATTTAACATTGTTCCCTTCATTTTCACATGTAACCTAAAGGCTTCTTTATTTTGAAAAAAGAATCAGAAAGAAGATCAAGGCAATACTGAATTATATATTTTAAAAGTAGCTTGCTCTTCTCAGACTCACAAAAATCTTTGGCTATTGAAAGTTGTAGTCGTCTTTTATCTGGCCCAAACCTCCACCTGTAGAGGAAACAACATGTGAAAAATAGTCTCTAGCTCTTTATGCTTTTGGAATGAGAAATTAGGCAGTAAATTCTGTTGAATGTTCATATTTCTATAGTTTATAAAGATCTTATATAAACATATACAACACAAGGCTCATAAAATCAATGTTTTTCAATCTTCATGTACCTTGTTTAGTAATTTTGAGACCAAAGTGGCATCAACACAAACTGAGGACAAGGGGATTAACTTTACATCTCAGAGTCTAATATTTCATTCCTAATGTTTCATATTGAGAATAATCAGGTACATGTACAGTGACTTAGAAATATTTATTGAAAAAATAATTGGCTACCCACTTAAACCATAGCAAGGTGAGTTACCAATACTATTAAGCTTGCAATAGAAATTAACCAAAAAAATGTATTTTATAAGATAATTATTATTGACTAAATAAAAACTGCAAACCCCTTCCTTTGAGGCAACGTGCACTTACTGTGACACCACAATAAGCGAAGACTGCTCAAAAGGGTTTTCAAGTTCGTAAATTGTACAGAAGCAGATGCCACATCTTTCTGCTGAGAGGTGGGTTGGTTCAACCTGTCAGCCTTGTTCTCTCAGTCAGCTTAAAAACCGTACCACCAGGGTTGCTTTGCTTTTATGTATTGCAATTGGATTAAACTTGTCAAATCCTTTGGGAATTTTGATATATAGGTTAGTCTTTCACATTTGTTTCCTTATCAACTTCTTTCTTGCTCATGTGTGTTTCTGGGATTACTGTCTGTAAGGTTTACTGTTAAAACCCATACTAAATAAATATTGTAATCATTTTAGAGCTTAATCATTTAGGTTTTCTTCTTCTTCTTCTTCTTCTT